TTTTTTTTTTTTTTTAAACCCCTGAGGGCTGAGCCTGAAACCAGCGCTTTTGCTGTGGGGAAAGGAGCAGGATGTAACACGGAGCTGGGAGGAGACGGCGCAACGTCAAAGCTGCGCGACGCAATATGGGGAATGGCTGTAAAACCCCCTAGGGAAACCCCCCACAGTCACCCAATGAGAAATGCTGCGGGGTTCCAAAATTGAGGGTGAGCTCCTGCAGGAGCGTGGCACAGGCAGGAGAGCAGCTGGAGGGGAGCACTCAGAGCATGCATCAGGCTGATAAGCAATTGCTGTGGAAGCACACTTGTGATTTCCAGCAGCACCTCCTTCAGTCACCATCCCCATGCCAAGCAGCAGCACAACTAGCCAGCCCTGCTACAAGCTGCTAAGGGGCAGGGGAGTGCACAGCCCTCCAGGTGTCAGCTGCCCCCACAGCAAGCTGAGGCTGCTTAAAGCCAAAAGTCATAAGGGTTGACCCAAAACATGGACAGGAAGGCTTGGAGAGGCTGCAAAGCTGCAGTACGAAGCATGCTCTGCTGCCTCCTTTTTTGGCAGCGTGCTGCTGCTTCCAGCCCTCAGGGAAACGAGTGCTGCCAAAGGGAGCACAGCACGGAGCTGTCTCTGTGCACATTGCTGCATGCACCGGCACCCTTCATGCTGCACTGTGCTCAGCAACAAACTGTAGCAGCGGGGACAGTAATCCATGGGGTGTGACAGTGGCAAAGGGCAGCCAAGGTGACAATGGCAAGGGGTGATCGGGTTTAGCTGCAGAGACCAAGGAAGCCTCAAAAGCCTCTGAAACAAGCACGTGAGCACTAAGCATGCCTCGCAGCTGCACAGCTTTACAAGCAGAAGTGGAATGGGTGCATGGGGCTGCTGCCTTACCCCAGCAGCACTCCAGCACCAGACCCTTCCTTTGCTTTTTGGCTGAAGCACAACTTGGCAGTATTTCAAGAGGGAAACCGAGTGCTGCACAGCAGTGGGGGATTTCTAACTCCAGAAGTGACTTTCTTAAAAAGGCTCTGTGGGGAACACATCCGGCTCGTGCAGAAGGAGCCACGTCACTTTTGGTAGCTGCACAGGAGCCCTTGCGCCTGCAGGGCAGCAGGCAGAGCTGTGGGCATGGGACGGTGCTCACCCATCCAAGCACAACTGGCCTCAGTTTTCCTGCAAAGATAAATCTGCCTGCAACAGTGAGCTTTAATAGGAAAAAAACTGGGGAAAAATTCTGCAGGGGGAGCCCAGCAAAGGGGCACAGCCTGAGCACAGCTCCGCTCGCTGCACCACTGGAGGGAGAGCAGCAGGACCCAAGCTGGGTGCAGATGGTTTGTATTCTTTCCTGGAAGTCTGAACCCTCAGGATGCACAAGAAGTGATAACAACAAGCTTTACATTTCCTAATAATGTCAGCCACTCCGAGACAGAAAGCATCCTGCACCCAGGGTCAGAGAGACATGCAGCACATCCATCACACAGCTGTATGGGACAGAGGCGGTGACAGCAGTGCCAAACCACAGCCCAGGTCAGCAGCCCCTGGCAGCAGCCAGCCTACAGTGAGCACTCTGCTTCCTCCTTCCCTAAAGGAGATTTTTTTTGGTGGTGGTGGTGTGAGGAGCAGGAAGGGTGGATACTCCACAAACAATTTCTGCTAAGTTTGTGTCTGCTCCTCATCCTGCTTACTCTTCCATTCAAGTTGTGTTTTTAAAGAAAATTTGTCCTTTGAATATCTATATTTTACATGGATTTACACATAAGCATTTCACCTGAGATGCTGAAGCACAGGACAGAGCTGGGGCGACCTTGCTACAACCCCTGGGGGACAGGATCCTCCCCCCCCCCCCCCCCCCCCCCCCCCCCCCCCCCCACCAACTCCTCTCCCCCCAGCAGCTCCCAGGGGTGACAGTGACAGCCAGCTGCTACCAGCTGCTTTGCTATGAGGAGTCATGAAACCACGGAGCAGAGGGACCAGAGATGTGGGAACATCATCACACGCACCCAAGGTCACGCATTCCTCTTTGGAGAAATCCAACCCCAGCCCTTAAAACCAAGCTCAGTTGTCCTGTTGGACAGTCTGGCCCCACTCATCTCAAAGCGGTGGGACTGCTACAGCAATTCCTAGAAGCAGCACTCTGACCTCCAGCTGCCTGCAGCCAGCACAACGCTCACCATCACAGCATTCCCCTAAACCAGCAGCACACGAGGGCAATCCCTACAACTATGCCCAAAGTGACATCCATCCATCTGCTCCTGCAATAAGGATGCAACGAAGACACTGCAGTTCACCCCACAGAGAGAAATGCAGCCCTGATGTCACACCTGAGCTGTGAGAGGGGGTCTGCCTGCACCCCCTGGGCCACAAACCCCCATCTCTGCTCCACAAACCCCCATCCCCACTGGAACAGGGCAGCAGAGCCCAGGATCCACTGCCAAACAAGGCCAGCAAGGTGCTGGGGTGGTACCTACAGCTGTGCCCAACTGTTGGCATGTTCCTGGGGGTGAAGGACCTGCAGCTGTGCCCCTTCACTGGATGCTCCTTGGAAAAATAAAAGAATAGGAAAAAGAATAGGAACTTCCAGTTTCCAGCATAAAAAAAGTGCAGAGGGTCTGCACTCCAGAACCTCTGGCTCAGCCTCCAACTGCACCAAGCCCCGTGCATACCCACAAGCAGCACTGAGTCAGGCTGGTAAAACCCCAAACTTTTGGTTGGTGGATTAAAACCTCCCCCAGACAACAGGTCCCATTCCATGCCCCTCCAGCAAGCAGCCTGCCCATATCAGCATAGTAACAGCAAAACTATGGGGTCAAATCCCCACAGTGCCCCCCAGCCACAAAATCAGACCAGAAAGCAAAGAACCCAACTGACCCCAAAGGGCCACACAGCTCCTAAAACACAACCTGAGGCTGCGCTGCTGACG